CCCCCGTTTCCAGATCATTTTGCCACTGGCCAGAGACAAAAATCAGATCCAGTGTGTGACCTCCTATGTGAGTGGGTGCATGAACTAATTGGGTCAAGTCCATGGTCGTCATGGAGGCCATGAACTCCCGAGCCACTGCCGACGTTTCGCCCGCCGATGGCAGGTTGAGATCCCCCATGACTATCAGTCTGGGGGTCTCATGTTTACCTTTGTCAAGTATTAAATATTGGAAGCCAACAATTGGTATTAATTTTCAGAGGTAGGCAACTATGGAATATACATATAGAATATAACATGGCTGGTTGGATACTAAAATTTTAGTATCTCTGGAAATAATTACCTCAATTAGAAAACTATGGAATGGAATGTCTGATAAAAGTTCAACCCTTTTCCCCCATGTTAAATTAACTTTATGAAGAAACCCAACTTACAAATTGAAAAAAGAAGATGATATGAAAAAATTGGATGGAAAATATTGACCTTAGATCAAATGATAAATGATGTGAATGGATTTTTATCATATTGTATGTTAAGAAACTAATATCATCTATATGATATAGCCCAGTGGTGGTGAACCTATGGCACAGGTGCCAGAGGTGGCACTTGGAGCCCTCTCTGTGGGCACATGTTTCGTTGCCCCAGCCTTGCCTCCTCCTGTGACCCCCTCCTCACCAGCAGCCCCCTGGAGGAGAGTCGCCCCTGAGCGTGGCCCATGTGGAGCAGCGCAGCCAAGGATATGGCAGCCAGGCAGCATAGACAAGACTCTGTCCTCACACCCCATTGTGCACAGTTGATGCTGTGGGGCGCGGGCAGAGGGTGTGGCCACCATGGCGCTGCTGGGCTGCCTGGGTGATCTGCGGCGGGCCCTGGAGGTGGTGAGTGGCCCAGCGGGTAGGCGGGGTGGGGGTGGGGCCAGTTTTTGGGTACTTGGTCTCTAAAAAGTTCGCCATCACTGATATAGCCCAACGGAAATATTTACAGTTATAACATTTGCTAACAACATTGTTTGGACCAGCAGTATTCTCAGCTTCTGAAATACCCAAGATACTAGAGCAACATGTTAAGTCCTTTAAACTAAAAAAAAAAAAACCTCTATAATTTCTATAGATATTGGTTATCAAGAAATCATTTTGATATTCATATGCTAAGAAATGTCTGGAATAAAAAATTAGACGTTCCTATATTGCTTAGATAATGGAATGGGGTTTTAACCTCCATATCACTAGTGTCAATGGATCTTATACTGTAATTTATACAACAACAAAAATAATACTTAAACTCCTTTACATCTATATAGAAAAGGATTGCCTAGGCCAGCATTTATTGAAGATGTAATAAGGATAATGTTGTTTTAAAACAGATGTTTCTACAATGTTCTTTTGGGAGGAAGTGATGGACTATATAAATGTAACTGTGTGACAAAAGCTAACATTTTCAGGAAATAATATTCTTCTGAATTACATACTTAGTCTTGGAATTTGATAACTGGACAACATAAATGGATTCTCCATGCCTTTACTATGGCAAAATACTGATATTGAAGTATTGGAAAGATAAATGAATAGTCCCTTTTACTCAATAGATAAGGACCAGATTGCACTTGTGATCTATTAGCAGATTGTCTGTAGGTTAATTATTGTACTTGCCACTATGTACATACAAATATAATGGAATATGGAACTCATTTGTACAAAGCAGGTTATAAAAAGGATAGTTATATAAATGTATTAAACATTTACACGTTTTCAATAATAAATGCATTTTTGTTGCATTTTACTTCACTTTTTTAAGAAATACACTTTTTGCTTTGTTCTTTGACAATGTATATATTTTTGTTTTTGTTTTTTGTTCTTTTTTCATTTCTTTTCTGTTTCAAAATCAATAAAAGAATAAATTAAAAAAATAACTTCAAATTGTTGTTGAATGAGTGGACATTTAATGAGGACTATTTGTATGCCTATCCCAACTGGAACTGGCTAGAATACAAGATCATGAATAAATCAATCAGTCTTGTCCTGCTTGACTCGCATATCCATATTCTGTCAGAGAGAATGTTTTTGAGCACTGGGGTATCTTATTACAATATTGCAGATTATATTCTGGCACTCCTTCTCAGTCTCTAAAATCTGGCTACCTATAAGACTAGGCTGGAGGTCAAGACTTTTGTAATATGTTCACCTACGTTCTACAGCTTTTACAAAAAGTGTATGTGTATGTGTGTGTGTGTCTATGGATTGCAGAATATGTGTATTAGCTATACTCCTAATCACTACCTTTAAGTCTAGTTCACAGATCATATTATGGTAAGATTTTTTTTTTAAATGTGGTGTGATGAACAAGGTATAATAGCCTATGTCACTATACAAAGCCATAATAAATAATTTCACATTTCATGCTATATCCAAAACAAATTAACCACATTAGAAGTTGATCTATGGAGATTCTCAGTCATTCAGATCATGGTTGTCCCAAAGGTGCTTTTTCAAAAGGCAACTGGACTTTCTTTGTTTTTCCTGGAAGACATTTTGCTTCTCATCCAAGAAGCCTGATGACATTTCTTTTCTTAATCAAGAAGGTTGGATGAGAAGCACAACGTCTTCAAGGAAAAACAAAGAAAGTCCAGTTGCCTTTTGAAAAAACATCTTTGGGGTTAAAAGTTAGTGCTATGTATGAACAAAGCTATTGTTCTCTCTTGTTTTATCACAATCAATAATGTCCAGGGTTATACTGTACCCTTAAAAGACTCAATTATAATTTAGGCAACCATCTGGAAAAGATTTGAGCCAGACCAAGCCACAAAGCAAGTTGGCATATCATAGAGCCCTTGACATCCCAAAGAAATCAATCTCCCATACCTGAATCTTTGATCAGCTTCCTGGCTTTTCGCTCACTGAATGATGACATCTCTGCAGGCTTCTGCTGGAACAGGGCATCAGAAAGGTTTTGGAATGGAACAGCCCGGCAATATACAACCACATCAGAGAGTTCTCGGGAAATCTGCACTACATCCTTTGCCTGAAGAAGTGCCATGTGCAAAAAATTAATTTAATTTTAATTTAATGAATTTAAAAATCCACTTCAGGTAACACATCCTACTTTGCAAACAAATTAATTCAGGCTTGCCAATAGCTACTAGTTTGGTACTGTTAAGTAGAGTCTAATAATATATTTCAGTCAACTAGAGAGGAAAGTTTTGTAAGTTGAAAGTTCCCCCCCTTCATTAATGCCATTGCTGGGCCATACCATGGATCCTGTAGGTCAGGGTCCCCAACCCTTGGTCCATGGACCGGCACCGGTTTGCGGCATGCCAGAAACTGGTCCATGCAAACAAACGAAGCCCCATCCACAGGATGCAGACAGCATGCAAAACCACACCCCCTCCAGTTCACGAAAAAACCTCTCTCCACAGAACCAGTCCCTGGTGCTCAAAACGTTGGGGACCTCTTTCAGGGGTTAGGAAATCTAGCTAAATCATATGTGGACTTGCTTACATAGGTTTGCCTCAGCAGGTGGCAGTACAGTATTTAGCCAATTTTTGACAGATCTCAGAAACTAAGCAGAATGGCCCCAAATATATTTGGACAGAAGACTGGGAATTTCTTGCCCAGGAGTCCAAAAAATCTCAGAAAAATCTGAAAAATGAAAATTTTTGTAGAACCAGCACGTAAGCTACACAGCTGAGAGAACCAAAAGTAAGGTTCAACTTGAAAGAATCTTCGCCTTTTTTTCATAAGGCTGCATTATTAAGTAATCATGCAAGGATGTATTTACCACAAAGATGAGGTCTTTTGAAGATACTACTTCGTGATCCAACATCAACCTATCTGTAGTGGTGACGCTGTAGCACAGCAGCAGTTGGCATGCCCCTTTTAGCACAAAGAATGAAATTCCTGGGTCCTGAATTGGATGTTAAACTTTCCTTACCAGCAAATGCTCTTGCAGTGGCATATGATGACATCATCATGAAAAGCAGTTAAAAGCAATTGTGGATATTATGTTTGTAGGTGGGCATAGCATCCTGTGAAAATAGCACCTCTCTTTCCCTGGACTATTTTCTTTCAGCATGGTTATGTTATGATCTTTATAGAACATCTATCCCTCTACACTTGGAACGGTCATCAACAAAGGGTTTCAAGGAAATAAAGAAGACAGTTTTCTCTTCACTTGTTTTATCACAATATTTTAATCATCAACCAAGATGAATAGGATACCCTCAAATTTGGCTACATTTGAATTATGGATAGGTAAAAGACTATATTGCTTGCTTGCTCGTCACACTTACCAGCTATGTTGGGATCTCTTCCAAGAAGGAAGGAATACTTACTTGCAAAGGTCTGACTTCCTGGAAAGAAGATGTAAACTGAAGAAAGAAGCAGAAACAAAAATTAAAAGATCTCTGTGTGTATAAAATTACATTTAGTTATATTTTCTAGAGGAAGAATTTAAGCAATTTTATTGGATTTTACTAATGATGCAGGATCTTGCTTCCTACAACAGCCAATCAGATGCTTCTGGAAGACAACTAAAAAGCATGAAGGCATCTCCTCAAGTTTGTTCCCAGGACATTTTATTAATATAGTTTCAACCTCTGATCTTGCTCCCATACAGCTATCATAACTTAATAATTTCTTATTAGATTTATTCTCTCTCTACTTGTCCTTTTTGCTCTTTATTTAGTCACATCTTTGGCACTGTATTCCAAAAATAAAGTAGACATTGTATGAAAGAAAGACTTTTTTGCCAGTCAACAGTCAACTCACTATTACAAACATATATTATCTTTTTTTAAAGTTTACCCATCACTGGCACATATTGTCCTATACATACAAACACTCCAAAGAATAATCGGAACTGATGCATTTTGCTAGCAGTCCCCAATTGAAGCATTTAATGTAGACTTTGCCCAAAAGGAAGTTTTTTTTACTATTTTCTCTATTTTAGGAAAACAAGGACCATTGAATTACAGAAAAGTCCTAAGTGAAGTAAAGAATACTTTAAATGCACAGAAGCTGTTTAACCTGAGATGATGATGGTTGTTTTTTGGCTTGCAGCTGACTACCCTATTTATATTCAGCTCTAACATTTTTTTAAAGGAAGCTTCTGACAGCAGAAGACCCCAATTTTCCATTTTAATTCAGAAGAAATGATGCCCTCATTTGATGACATAAACTCTTCCAAAGAAACAAGAGTGAACTGTCTAATTTGTTGTAGTGTAGTCATGATTCCGTCTAATGAAACACTTCAAAGAACTTCAAGGCCTTGTTTATCCTAAAAGTCTTTATTAACAGTGTAACATATTGACGGCACGTCATGGATGGATGCCAGAATCTGAATTTCTCTTGCTTGCGTCTAACTTTTCTTGCTAAACCCCTCCCTTATTTTGCAGTCATAAGTCACATCTTCCAATTAGCCCGGAGGGCAAAGATTCACTTCCGTTCCTTTTCCCGGGCTTTCCTTATAAATCTCCTCCCTTTCTCTGTCATCTGAATTAACTCTAAAAATACCAGATAGTTCTGCATATCTTGTCAAAGCAATAATATCCTATATTAACAGCGTTGACAGATGCCCTCATTTGATGACATAAACTCTTCCAAAGAAACAAGAGTGAAGTGCCTAATTTGTTGTAGTGCTCTGTTAAGAACTCCAGCCTGATTTCTTCTGGGTATTCCTTTCTATCTCACCCAATTGTGAGCTTTCTGTTCCTCATCACTCTCTGGCTATAAATCATGCTTGATCTTTATTGAGCTATTTGTGGGGGCAGGGGGAAGAAAAGATGTTTGTGAATCTCCACTACGAATATTCAGTACTTTTGTAGCCTCCTTCTTTCTCAATAGCATAAATATAGCAAATGCAGGGAGACAGTGATCTTAGAACTGCAGCATTGGGTTTTTTTGGGGGGGAAGGGGGCTGTTGAGTTTCCCTAAAAGGATCATTCTTTACCTTATGCTTTTGACACATTTGGCTACATGGTACAATATCTGGACTGCAAAAATCCAGATAACGGTTAGATGTAAACAAGGAAGTTGAGATAAGTTTAAAGTCTGTCCCATTTGAGAAGTTTATCTTGGGACCCAGAGAACTCTACTTGCACCTTCTTTTCAGCAGTCCTACTTCAGCTGCATTCTTGACCCTGAATTGTATTGGTTTGTTTTTACAGAATATCCACCTTAGAGGTTTCCCTAATATTCTCTTAATCACTCCTTCAGAAACATGGATCTAAACCTCACCCTCTGGTCTTCTTCCTCCTGCATTTCTTCCTCACGATTGGAGATCAAGTAAACTCTTGGATCAGTCTTGTTCTCTGATAGTTTTTTCCCCTTCACTAATATCTTCCCCTTCAATTGCTGTAAAGTTTGGGAAAGAAAAACCAATAAACTTAGCTCTACAATAAAACCTTCCTAATAATCTTAATTAGCTGAGTGAGGGATTGTGATTTCCTACATCCTTAAATCAGCAAAAGTATAACTCGCACTGCTATTATTCTTCACTTAATTTGGCAAACTTTTACATTTTTTTGTGAAGTACCAATATGGCATGAAAAATAAAACATTTATTTATTTATATTCCACTTTTATTATTTTTATAAATAACTCAAGGTAGCAAATATAATCAACACAATTTCCTCCTCCTGTTTTTCCCACAATAACCTTGTGAGGTGAGTTAGGCTGAGACAGGCTGACTAGCTCAGAGTCACCCAGCTGAATTCACGGTCCCCCATTTTCTAGGCTTAACCACTAGACCAAACTGTTGTTTATTTGTCGTATAATCCCACCACAAAACACTATTTCAGGTGTGATATTGTTAGACAGTTAAGAACATAAAAATTCATTTTGAGTATAAAAAAAGAACTAAAAAATATAGAATAAACATGTAAAACAGTGCAGTTACTGCAAATGATAGAAGTTGATAATGTGCAATTCTTAGTCCCTCAAATTTCTGGGATAGTGATACTGTACAAATACAAATCGGACTATGGCTGCAAAGCAATGTTGATTTGTCAAATACATGCTTCTTGTTCTGGAGCGTAGAAAGACCAGTTTCCTATTCATCAAATCACACTCCCTTCATGATTCTCAATGTGGTTTGCATAGCCTGTAGATTACTAGGAAAGTTGTTGATCACCCACCTATGCAATGCTGGACAATTATATAATGAAAATAGAGGCAAACTATATTACCTCTGGTGAGGGCAGTTGCTTAGACAGGTCTCCGTCCAGGGGTTGGATTAACAGCATGTCCCCTAGAATAGTTTTCAGGTGATGGGCCATTGTAGACTGCTGATCCAGGCCACAGTGGTTTTCCAGAGAAAGAATCACAGGATAGGAAGAGTGCTGGGGATATAAAGTAGGATTGGAAGATATCATTTCTCTACAGCAGCCCTTTTCAAATATTGTTTATAGCAACAATTTTTTCCTGTTAGTTCAGAGAGAACTTCTGGATATAGTTTTATACAAATCTGCCATTTTTTTTCATGTAGGTTGTGGATCTATAGTTTTACAAGCAATATAAAACAAAAATAACAGCACATAAACATTTCCTTGATATGTCTCAACAGTGGGAAATAAAATAGCTGCTGATATTTATTTATTATGCAACTATTGAAACTGACGGTATCTATGAAAATACATGATGACAACCAAGTGTATTTGTATATATAAATCTTGCTGCCAGCTTTCTCAAATTCATGTGATGTGCTGGAGAATATATAGGGGTACTCCAGAAGAATAAATCAATTCATTTTCCAGAAGGCTCTAAATATTTTATTTGTATGGAGCTGTGGTGGCGCACTGGTTAGAATGTAGTACTGCAGGCTAATTCTACTGATTGCCAAGAGTTCGATCCTGATTGGCTTAGCCACCCATCCTTCCGAGGTCGGTAAAATGAAGACCCTGATTGTTGGGGGTATTATGCTGACTCTGTAAATCACTTAGAGAGGACTGTAAACCACTATGAAGCGATATATAAGTTAAAGTGCTTTTGCTATTACAGACCAAAGTAAATATGTTATGATATTTATACAATTACTTTGACCCACAGATTCAAAACATTTCACAATAATTCTGCTGCTATGTTGATTTTTAAGGTCCTAAAAAGTTTGAGTGAAGGGTACATGAAAAACCCATTCTACCTTATGCAAAGAATTTATCAATCAACAGTTGTACAATTAGGCTAGAAGAATATATGGTGTTAAATTATTTCAAATACAAGGATTTACTAAAATAACAGGTAGCAAAGCACCATCCTAGAATCCCAAAGATGCTTTTTTACAAGGCAACTGGACTTTCCTGTTTTTCTTGAAGATGTTTCGCTTCTCATCCAAGAACTTCCTCAGTTCTGACTGGATGATGGGGAATGGAAGGATTTATACACCTTGCAGACAGCTGTTCATTTGCATTCTTTTAGAGAATCATTGATGCCACTTGGAGGTTTATCTGTGTTGTCAGGGTCACCTGAATCATGCAAATCATATCCCTCCCCCTCTGTTGAGAGAGGGCTGTCTATTGAACAGCCCTCTCTCAACAGAGGAGGAGGGATATGACATCATCTATCTTCAATCCACAACACAGTCCTTTCAACACAGTCCAAGAAGGCTCCACAGCCATTTGCACTACTCAGGTGACCCTGACGACACAGATAAACCTCCAGGTGGATCAATGATTCTCTAAAAGAATGCATGTGACCAGTATAAATCCTTCCATTCCCCATCATCCAGTCAGAGCTGAAGAAGCTTCTTGGATGAGAAGCGAAATGTCCAGTTGCCTCTTGAAAAAAAAGCACCTTTGGTATAACTATGACCTGGATGATTGAGAATCTTCATAGACACCATCCCAGAAGCACTGTTCCTTTTCTGGATGGTTCTTGAATAAAGTTGTATTCTGAAAACATCCTGACAATTTATTAGGGAATGAGAATGAAACAAAGAAACTAGAGGCTATCTCTATTAGATATATTAAAATGCTTGCAAATTTTCAAAATCTTTTTTTAATGTCCCAGATCTTTTAAGATTTAGGCATCCCAAAGATCTCATAAGCTTTCAACTCTTTGATACATTTTAAAATTTAATTCTGGGACACTTAACAATACAGGGAGTATTATGACTGTTGCATTACCAATATATGAGCAATATAATGCTACTTGACAAGAAGTGCTGGGAAGTCTCTACTGAAAACTTTTCTTGTTTCGCATAACAAATAATGCTTCTTCTAATAAAATATCTAGGCCATATCATATATAAATCAAGAATGTTTTTTACTTCAGCTATTACTTTAATCAATAATATAGCATATGAATAATGATATCATTAAATGTGGTGAAATCTAAAGGAGAGAGGGGTCCTTTAGGGTAATAAACAGACATTCCAGCTTAGGATCGGTTAGAAGAGGAAACGTCTGAGATCAAACTCTAGGTCTATATCTGCCACTTCCCAAGGAAAGGCAGACAGTCTGGTTAAGATTCCTGTAATATAGGTGATCAACAATAAAATATCTATAAGTGGTTCTGGTTGTTTGCCCCTGACATTAAAACTAAAAAAGAGGATCTCAAGTATAAAACGTGTATTGTAGTTTAGTCTACCTTGAAGGCATGGTCCCGAATGCTTTCAATTACATCCCGGAAGAGGATCTTGGAAGTAAGAGTATGGCCATGGTAGATAATGGGCTCTCCATTAGAACCTTCCCAGCAGTCAAGCTCCACGCAACGGCACCCCTTCATTAATGCCCTGCCAATGGGGAAAAAAGGATAAAGAAATAGATTTTGCATTTCAAAAATGCAACTGGGATGGACAGAGGTAAAAGACAGAAGAATTTATAGTTTTCATTCCAACACTCAAGATGTTCAGTTTGGTATGCAATCAAGATGCTTCTCTAAAGCTTCTGAAGCAAATCTGTGAAACTGTATGTGCTTTTGAAGAGACACCCACATCTAAAATTATATAGATACACATAAGACAGCCTAGGAAAAGCAATGGGCTGTGCCGGGTAGCATAATCAAACCAGTTAATATAGAAACTGTAGTTTAATTATTTTTATGCAATATTCATAAAACAAAGATTATATTCCAGATCAGATCAATGAGGATCAAGCTGAGGAAATGTAGTCAGACTGGGCAAGTGATGTAAAAGAAATGGTTTATATTTTGTGTTATACATTATGTGAGCCATTAGACTTTCTATAATATGTAATCTGATTCTCCTGTTGAACTGGCCAAATTCAATATCTTCTCTGGCTATTACAAGGACTCACATGCTTGGATCTGATGCCAGAACTCCCAAAGAGTTCCTGCATACTTCAATTCACAAAAACTGCAAATAATATCTGCTGACCATATCTGCTCTTCACTATATTCTGTTCAAAATGGCCCCTAAACTGTTCACTCAAGGGCAGTTGAGAATAATATGAATGTGAATGTGAATGTGAATAATAAGTTTACATGCTACCTAATTAATGGAACCACCTGATGCCAGAAAAGTGAATAAACAGATGGAAAGGGCAATTCCTCCCCAGATACCAGTCTAATTGTTCTTTTCTGTCATCTTGCCATGGCCTTGTTCATCTTGTTCTATTCAAACTACACCCATTCCCATTAACCAGGTATTCTCTCCTAATCCATTGCTCACCCAGTTCCCCTTTAGTTTCTATGAATCATAGATAAAAACTCATAACAGGTGGTTACCAGTTCTCAGGATATGATAGGATCTTCATCCCCACCTCTGCCCCCAAATATATGACCTTTTGACTTGCTTTCAACTAGATGTTTGTGGATTTCTGAGAACAATACCTAGTCTGCTACCTCCTTTTCTATCACGTTTTTCAATATGACCCACACTGGCTATAGTTGTTCACAGTTGGGTCATGAAAACTTCTTACCGAACATATGCCTCAGTGCTACTGGCCCCTCCAATCTGATTGTCTGTTAGGTAGGTATTATGGGAGGAAGAGATGAAGTAATGGCATAAAGGCTGGCTCATATCCTGATAGATCCCAGCATGGGCCTGGTTAAGGATGTTTCCCGCTGAAGATAGTAAGTACATTGTGAAACCATCCAGCATCATGAGATTGTGTTGCCTGGCTGTGGAATAGAGACAGTTGGTGAAGCAGGTTTGACCACAATCCATGAAACAGGTTGACCAGATACATTTCATAAGATACTGTTGTATAAACTCCAAATACCTGTATCTCATTCTTTCCCTCTCCCTGCAACTAGCAAAATGCTAATATAATGTAATCTCATTTTTTTCCTCCTCAATCCACTTTTTGAAGGATAAGGAGAAAGTGAAGGACCAAAAAATCATAGTAAATTCTTGTGAATGAATGTGCACTTCTAACTTTTTCCATTCTCAATGACTTTTTACTGTTGTTGTTTTGTTTTTAGGTTAATCTTTTAAAACAATTGGATTGGTTTTATTGTAAGGTACAATGTTTTAATACTGTGATAAAACCATCAAGGAGTCCACTTTTTTAAAAAAGGAAAGGCAGTATCATCTCATGGATGTTGTTCTGGAGATGAGTCAGAAGATAATATCTATGTTCAGCAGCCATCATCCATAATAGACCATCTTCTGAGGAATAAACATCTATTTTTGTGGCTACACAAGGATGATAACTTTACAAAGACTCAAGGGCAATATTACATTGTTATTTATACAATGCCATCTACATACAACAAATGGAACTTTACCAAGAACAGGTTTAAAGATCCCTCCCCAAAGAAGTTCACAGTCTAATAACTGGCATACACAGATGAGATGAAAGAGAATGAAGAATGAATGGAACAGCAGTAAACAGAAAAATAATCTGCAATTATTTTAGTATGTGCACTAAAGGTGGTAACATTGAGAAATTAGGAGTAGGAAGCAAATAGACTTTCAGAGGCTGGGGCAGGTCCTTTAGTGGCTAAGACGGGTACAGGTTGACAACAATGGGATATAAATAGAAAGGATGCAGAAGCCCTGAAGATAAGATTGAGAAGCTTATGTAGAAAAAAAATCAGAGGTGAGAGTTGAAATTGAAGATTTGCACTATAATTTGAAGAGTCAGAATATTGGCAAATAAACAGTTTTCTCAAAAGAACATTAAGTTAATATCAATATATAGAGGTGAATCACAAACAACCAGAAAAAATATGTTGTGTTATCGATTCCTGTGATTCTGAGGAGAGCCAGTGAATTCTTAGCCTGTAAAGGAAAAAGCTATAATGGAACCACATCTACATGGAGGGAAGTGTATGGTGTTCTGGGTCCAGTGCTCTTCAATATCTATATCAACGATTTGGATGAGGGGATAGATGGGGAACTCATCAAATTTGCAGACGACACCAAGCTGGCAGGAATAGCCAACACTCCAGAAGACAGGCTTAGGATACAGGAGGATCTGGACAGACTTGAACACTGGGCACTATCTAACAAAATGAAATTCAATGGTGAAAAAAGCAAGATTCTACATTTAGGCAAGAAAAACCAAATGCACAGGTATAGTATAGGTGGTACCTGGCTCAATAGTAGTAACTGTGAGAGGGACCTCGGAGTCCTAGTGGACAATCACCTAAATATGAGCCAGCAGTGTGCTGCAGCTGCCAAAAAGGCCAACACAGCGCTAGGCTGCATTAACAGAGGGATAGAATCAAGATCATGTGAAGTGTTAATACCACTTTACAATGCCTTGGTAAGGTCACACTTGGAATACTGCATCCAGTTTTGGTCATCGCGATGTAAAAAAGATGTTGAGACTCTAGAAAGAGTACAGAGAAGAGCAACAAAGATGATTAGGGGACTGGAGGCTAAAGCATATAAGGAACGGTTGCTGGAATTGGGTATGTCTAGTTTAATGAAGAGAAGGAAGAGGGGGGGCATGATAGCAGTGTTCCAATATCTCAGGGGCTGCCACAAAGAAGAGGGTGTCAAGCTATTTTCCAAGTCGCCTGAAGGCAGGACAAGAAGCAATGGGTGGAAACTAAGCAAGGAGAGAAGCAACCTAGAACTAAGGAGAAACTTCCTGACAGAACAATTAATCAGTGGAACAACCTGCCTCCAGAAGCTGTGAATGCTCCAACACTGGAGGTTTTTAAGAAGAGACTGGACAGCCATTTGTCTGAAATGGTATAGGGTTTCCTGCCTGAGCAGGGGGTTGGACTAGATGACCTCCAAGGTCCCTTCCAACTTTACTATTATTATTATTATTATTATTATTATTATTATTATTATTATTATTATTATTATTATTATTATTATTATTATTATTATTATTTGATAAGCATCCTGTAACCTGTGAATCAGATTCTGCACAAGTGGCTGCTAATTCAGCCTTGGAAGACTGCCGAGCTCTAAATCATATCACCAGTTAAAGCAGACTGAGAGCAGATATCTGTGATTCCTCAAGAGAAGGGGACATCAACTAGTCCAATTAGGAAAAGTCCAAAACTCTGAGCATCCTCCAGACTACCTCCCCTTGTTGGGAACAACTCTCCTGCTTCCCATCGTTTCCTACCCCGTATTCTATAATCAGACCTTTGACTTAACTATTGGAGTGAGCTTTATAGACTTTCTTTGGCTCTTAACATGCAGTCTGCTCTTGCATGACCCTAGTTTTCTATCTTCAGCCTCTTTGAAGCAGCCCTGCACCTCACGTAGCTTACATATCTGAAACTCTATCTTATCTTTTCAACTTTTTCTTATTCTCTGACCTCTATCTCTATTCTGGCTTCTGTTGAAAGTGTTGTGACAGATTAATAAAAGCTTATAAATTCATAAATGTTGCTTTATATTGGCTTGGGATTTCAGGCTTGCACAGACATTGATAGAAAAGAATATTTATTTGGTAATGAAATGCCTGCAAGAAAACAACCAAGCTCAGAAAGCACCAAGAATATCCTTTGTAGTCAGGAAGGTTGGATATAAAAGGCATATCTCTAAGTGATATAAGTGATTTTAGAACAGAATTTCTGGCTCCCAAGCTATCCTGCACTCTAAATTAAGCTGCTGTGATGGCAAATCATTCATAGACTTCTTTGTGTAATAGGATAAAGGCTTGTATTTCTGAGCAGAAAAAATGCTTAGGTATCTTGGTACACCTTGGGCTGAGGTTCCTAGTGATATTCTTGTTTCTGGTATCAAAAACAAACTCCTTGGTTGAATATATTTGAAATACTCTTGTTCCCTAATATTAAAATATATCCACAAGCTGTTGTTTTGCATCTCAATTTGTTGGTGGGCCTTGAAGTAGACTTGCAAGCCCAGTGCCAGCCTATACATCGTCTAGACCAGGGGTAGGCAACCTTGGCTCTTTTATGACTCGTGGACTTCAACTCCCAGAATTCCTGAGCCGGCTGGTCTAGACCAATGTTTCTCAATCTTAATATCTTTAAGACTTTTGGGAGTTAAAGTCCACACATCTTAAAAGTTTCTGAGATTGAGAAACTTTGGTTTAAGCAAAGATAGTTATAGCTACTTAGAGGCAGATGAATAACTATTTTTTGTAATGCTTTGAAAACTAAAACATCATTCTTTGGTGGTAGACTGAAATGTTAATGTCAAAGGAAAGAGAGCAGAATCCCAGAGAAAGGTTCAGGTGTGGTAAAAAAAACTGGGGCTGGAAGTGTCATTGTCAATATACGACAAAGAGAGGAGGACTGTGCTGAGATGGACAAATTAACAAAAGAGATAAAAGAAAAGGAAGACACAGAATACTATTTAATATGGAACAAGTGGTATGACTGGCTGGAGAGTAGAAATAAGAGAGAATAAATGTGGAAAGGTTAAAAGTGGAAAATGTGTGTATAATAATGTATGAAGGAAGAAAAATGCAAATAAGAAATAATGGGGCAACAAGGACAAATACTCTAAAGAAGAATAAGGGGGGAAATGTAAATAATAGAAGATTACTGTTACGAAATTGCTGTTAAAATATATACTGTGTATATATGTGTTATGTTTTGTTTTGTTTTGTTGGTTTAAATAATAAAAATTAAAAAAAAAGAGAGGAGGGCTTGGGAGGATATTAAAAGTTTGGCCTTAAAGAACTTACATTTCAATAAATATTCCAATGGAAAAATCAGATAGGCACCTGGGAATGCAAGGCAGAATAGCAGGAGAAAATTCTAAGAAAGAGAGGTAGAAACAAGTATCTTCAGCAAAATCGTGATACTGAGAAAGGGTTAGAATTCAAAGTGAAAAAAGAGCAATTCCAAAAGAAACAGAAGAAGGAAACCAAGGAAAGAATAGGAGCTTTTAATAATGTAGAGTTGTTGCTGATCTATTGTCCATAATGCAAACGCTCTGTATCGTACTATAATTGCAACCCTGGACATTGAATCACAATTCAAGTTAGACATGGAAAAGATAAAATTAGTTCCAAAAATGTATCTCCCATGACTGCAGTTACATACATATTTTTGGCAGGGCTGAAAATGAACCAAAAGTTAAAAGTTAATTAAAATGTCATAAAATCTTTTGCTGTTCTGATTGTAAAAGATTAAAAGTAAAAGACAACAATAGCCACAGAATGGCTTTGAAAGTTTTTTTCTCCAAAGTAGAACCTGAAGATAGAAGAAAAACAAGGATGAGCAAATGCAGGAAGGAGGAATCAGGCTCTTGCACTTTTCCTTGTATAGAAGAGAGAATTTAGCTGTGTACACAAATTCCTGTTTAATGTAGTGATTACAGGTCTAATTGTCCAGTTTTAATTTGCTTTAGATCAACTTGAAGAATACATAATAAATACCAATAAGTCGCACTCAGAAAAGATGCCAACTGGGAGTTAAATATGAGATCTAGGGCCATCTAAAAGATGGTTTCACTTGACATTTTTACAAGAAGACACTCCTCTTTATCTCTTATACTCCTTGTTAAGTATAACAATCTCTTCTGTACGTACATATGGACACTGATTGTATACTGCTACCAAAACTAAACTTGCTTGATTTGCTGTTGTACCAACCAAAGTTCCAGAGAAAAGCAATTATGGGAGTAAATCATCCTATAAACCAGGGTGTCACTGCTGGCCCAGGGGCCAGATGCATTATAGTGAAACCGCGCCCACCCCTTGCCAGCAATGGCAAAAAAGTCGCGATACGTCGCAATACGTCACATCATGTTGCGAGTTTGACATCCCTGCTATAAACCATACATGTTACATAATCTGGAACCCTGAAGCATTAGGACTGAGTTAAGGAGCTGAGCAAAGGTGACTTCTTTGCTTCTCCATTTCAAGAGTGTCTAGAATTTTCTAAGAGTAAAGAGGAAATACTAGAGCTAACAACTGTATTTTTTATGTGGCTCTTCTTTCGCCTCATTTGTTTTGTCATCTAGGTAGTAGCACCTATTTGACTCTTGTTGGATGTAAAATGAAGAAATAAACTGATTCAGTGCTGATAAGTATTTCTGATATGACAACCAGAAATTCCAGGACTATAAACTACGTATACTGGGATATATTTTTTAAAAAATAAAATAAAAAAATAAAAATCTCCAAAGGTGACAGTAGCAGTAACACAAAGTAGCTACAAGTAACACAAGTAGCAGTAACACAAAGTAGCTACAAGTAGACAAGCTCAGCTCATGGAATATTCTAGTGTTATATTGCTGAAAGTAATTTTATTGTTAATGTTATTATCTAATACAGTGAATTTAAGTTATAAACAAAACATTAAAGATTGGTTGATTTATGGGCTGAATTTATCTAAGAGTATTTGCATAAATGGCAGCAAGAATGCCATTCAGGCCAGACTGCTACATCAGCACCAATATTGTCTCTGCAATATAAAAAGTGCAAGGCAGTCTTGCCATACCCCAATTTTGGTTTGCCTGTATAATAAAATATATTAAATATCTTATCAAGTTTCTTTTTAAAATTTAAAAGTAAATACCTGGAGTATTTTACTAGACCATTTCCTTTATTTGGTCTGCGCTATTTCCTCTGTTTGTTACTTTATATAGTACAATATTCAAGAAAGGAATTCAGTTACTAAAATCAAGCAAATATTTTTTTTTCTGCAATATTCCTAATCCTAGTACTCCTTATACTGTATTTATTACAAGCCTGTCAGTATTGGATTGACTACTTGTCCAGAAGTAGTGGGAGCAGGAAGAAAACTTTGTGGCTTGTTCCACAGAAATAATGGCCTTCGTGCAACCTGTGTCAAGTTCCTGATCAGGTGGTATACCTAAGTAGCTCAGTCTTTCTGAATGTTCTTGTAATCTACCACCATAACAAACAATGGTTCTTGGAAAACAAAATATTGTAACTCACTTGCTGGTAAATTTACTATCATATTGCTGAGATACATGGAGCATGTTCATACCTTTCTCGTTGAGCTCATATGTCTGAATGATATGATGAGCTTGCTGCAAGCTTGTTTCTTCACCCTGGTCATGCAAAAATTCCTGCAGTTCCTCAGCAGAAAGCACACAGTCCTCGCCTGAATATTGGTGGAAGATGTCCTCCAGCTCAGGCCGTTTCATTAGCCGTGTACAGAACTCCTCAATCTCACATTCTTCCAAGCGGTCATTGTTTGATTTGTCACACTCCTGGTAAAAGAGAGGCAGAAGAATAAAGGAACTGCAATGAAACTGTATCAGAGGCACCTGATTAGCAACAGAGTGGCTAACATGGGAAAAGGCAACTTTCAGACTTTCTCAGCCTGGCAACTTTCAGGTGTACTGATACCATAATTCCCAATTTCTGATGATACTCAGCTGTACATATCCACCCCGGGCCACCCCAACGATGCCCTTGACGTGATGACCCGGTGTCTGGAGGCCGTGAGGGTCTGGATGGGGAGGAACAGACTCAGGCTCAACCCTTCCAAGACCGAGTGGCTGTGGCTACCGGCGCCTCGGCATAGTCAGCTAGTTCCATCGCTGACTATAGGGGGCGAAAC